ATGTCTCACTCGTTGGCTACCTCTCACTAGGTCGAAGGGGCTCATCATCTGGAAGGAGGCCCTAGAGACGAGCTATCCGTTGTAGCAGGTCGATGTGCCCGATCAAGCTGGGAAGTGACTCCCACTACGTGGGTCTAAAGACGATCAATCCTCTCCATGAGATGCACGGTGGAGGTGGAATGACCGGCACCTAATGATGATGTAGCTGGTGGTGGTGGTGGTGCAGGGCGCAGGAGAGTGGGACGCCAGTGGTGGCCGGAAGCTCAAACAGGTGGCTGCTCTCAGATGAGCCCAAACTCGGGTCTCAAGGGATCAAAGTCTCGCAGCGAGCTAGCTTGGCCAAGAAGTTGCTCTCGTATTAAAACATAACTCGACCCTAGTTTGGTCAAGTTCTCACAAACTCAATTTCGGATGGAAATGAACGGGAACCCTTACACCTGGAAGGACGCACACTCGTTATAAGGAATCTTTCGATGCAATCGAGGGCGATTCTCGATTGATAAGGAAGATTCAGCAAGTTTTTTATCGCAACTGTAGACACCACATTTTGTCCGGAGCAACTATCCTACTCAAAATTCGGAAGAATATTCCATGTAAAATTAGAAAAGAAAACCCAAGTGAAAGTTTAGATAAGGTTGGTTGAGATTAGCGGTGGCGAATCAATAAATACCAACGTTTTCCAAGTCTTTCTTTCTATTCATTTCGAATATTTGTACTAGGTAGGATTAGCAGTGGCTAATGGCTACCAAATTCGCTTTATTTAGAATAGCAATAGTATGCCGTCACGACTTATACCGGTATTATTGTTAACGATTGGTGATATAGGTCTAGAAATTGGTTGAATGGGGTATTGGTCACGATTCATAACTAAGAATAATTTACTTAGAAGTTGGGATATTGGTCACGATTGTAGTTAACGAATTGGTTTGAAATAATCAATTGAATGATTGAGTAATACATACAATGATCATCTAATTCTAAAGGCAAGGACATAAATAAACAAATGTGTAATTACATATTACAATCCGTGACATTTAAGATACACCTTGTAATTATACAATTAAAAAAAATAAAAAAAAAATAAAAATTCTGCTTTTGGGCACCAATCAGAATTGGGGGCTTAGCCAATTAAGGCTGTTTGGACCCCCATTGATCATCATTTTGGGCCGGAAACGGACTAGGGACCTGCAAACAAAAAAAAGAAAATGTTAGAAGAGCAACCTAAAATAAAAACCCACAACCCAGGCCCATATTCAGGCCCAATTGACTCTGGTCAACCCTGGTCAACCTGGTCAACCTGGGTCAACCCAATCAAGTATGGTCAGCCCGGGCCAACTCTGGTCAACCCCGTCAACCAAACCCATCATTCTTATCTAAAAGAGCAGCAGAGTAGCAGAGCAGCAGAACAGCAGAGTCTCTGCCAAATCTAAAAAAGAAGATTTCGGCCACCTCCTCCAAGAACCAATCCCAAATTGCCAACAACATAAGTGGCTAAGGCTACCACTTCAAGAGCAAAGGAGGAGCAGCCAACACACAGGTATGAACAGTAAAAGGCAGCCATATATAAGGAGCTGTTTTACCCCCAAACAGGGGGGGAGGACCAACAACAAAAAACAGACAAAAAGGGAGACAAAGAGCATTAAAGAGCACTAAGCACCAAAAAGACAGAAGCACTAAGGATCCAAAAAGGGCAGGGAGTCAGAAACAGCAACGAGCCATCACCATCAAAATCCACTCAATCACAACACAGGTTGGTATTCTCTACACCCCATTAACCGTACAAGCATCCTAGTTATTTATACATCCATGTAGAAGATCTACTTAACATATGATACTTCTAAGTTTATAATCCATGGCTGAGTTGCTTAAGTTTGTATGTAAAAGGGGGTATTATGAAATCCTGATCTTTGTGATATGTATGTTTCTCTTTACCATTCATTTTTAATTTTTGTTACATACCACAAGAGACCGCTTCCATTTATAGTCAACATACAATAAATTAGCTTAAATTATTCCCTGTTTTTCTAGCAAGCATGATTCAGGTTAAATTGTTAGGTGAACTTAGCAATAATATCAACTAGGCTAACCCGTTTACTCATTCAACACATAAAAAATCCAACAATCTATTCAAAACATAAAAATAGGACCCAAACTAGATTTTTGAGAGAGTATTTTAAAATACCTCATTTGATGGTTGTAAGGGCGCCCTTTTAACTCAATTACCAGATTTGGTAATCACGAAGTTCTCATTTGATTATTATTTTGTATGCTAAATACAATAAAACACTCTCATTAAAAGTCTCATTTGTTACTAATCAGTATTAGCCCTTTTAATCAAGTTGTTTAACCAATCGATAGTCAATAGCAGTAGCTATGATGTCGTATTACTTTTAGGACCATTATAGATTGTCGAATTTTAATAAAGCAAGTTCACCACCATATCCAAAACCAAACATTAAGGCTAAACAAACCTAGGAGGTCTAACAAAATTTACTTTCACAACACCAGAAAGTTCTATAAACAATCATAACGATAATTAAACCACCCATTTTAGGTTTAGAAGGGGTATCACCTAGTTTCCTTCAAATTGAATAAGATCTGCAAAATTAGGAAATCGAGAGTTAGAACCCCAAAAATGATAATAGGTAAAAAACGAGAATAAAAAAATAAAACAAACAACTTACCCCCAAACAAAACCCTCGCCGTCGGTTCTGGCGCTGGCCGCGCCGCCGGCGACCGCCGCTCCTCCCTTCTCTCGGCGGAGGTCCAAATAATAAAAAAAAACATAAACAAAAAAAAACAAAACAAGTTAAATCCCAATCTCATCCATTAAATCCAATGAAAATGGGCATGCATGTAGAAAAGAGCTTACCAGAGGGTAAGATCTCGTCGTCGCCTCTGCTCCAACTAGAAAGAGTAGATCGAGATTATTAGAAAGTAAATCAAGAGTCCCTCCTCGGTTTTGGATCGGTCTCTGAAAGAAAAGCAAGAAATAGGTTTAGAACATAGAAAATCTTAAAATCGAAATCGAAAAATGGTAAAAATCTTACATGCAAGCCAAAAAAAACCTAACCTTTGGAAAACCCTAGTCGTCATCGTCACTGCTGGTGTTGGCAGCGCTCATCCTCAGTCGTCGCCGCCGCCGCCGCTTCTTTTCCCCGTCACCACTCGTTTCCAGAATAAGGAGAAGGGGAGATAGATTAAATATGAAGAAGGCTCATCTCCTTTTCTCGATTTACATGAAGAACGCGAGAAGGAGAAGATGTAGATGGCGGCGTTGTTCGGATGGTTAAGTGATTAGGGTTTTCGTTTCGAGGTAGGGATTAGCGGGAGATAGGGAGGCGAGAGACGAGGGAGGAGAGGGATCGGCGGTTGAGAGGCTAGAAGGAGAGGGAGAGCAGCGCCGGCGGGTTTTGATTAGGCTAGGGTTTCGTTTTTTTGTTTCGGGAGAGGAAGAGAGATCGGCCGAGAGAGAGAGAGGGATGAGCGGCCGCCGCTAGCCTTAGAATACGATTAGGGTTTTTTTTTTGGGTCCAAAGAGATGATTTTATACTCACCGGTAAATGTCGATTTTGCCCCTAGGGTTTCTCGCAAATTACATGTCCTGCCACCGCGTTTTCGTGAAATTACTAGGATGCCCTTCCCCCTTCTCTGCATCAAAACGAGAAAAATTAAAAATTTCTCCACCAGCGCGTTTCGAACCCACGTCCTCCGGTTCAAACGCGGGAGTGGTCTGGCGTTTTAGCCAGTTGGGCTGCTGGCCCTCATGCGTCAATATTATAATCCCGTATAGTTTTATTCATTTAAAATCCTTAATACGAAATGAAGAATTGCGGATTAAGTTTATCTCGTTTCTTTCCTAATATATCAAAACTCCTCTTAATAATTACAATTATTATATTATCTTTTTGTAATTTCATAATACCAACTTAAATTTTACTAACAATAAATTTTGATACGAGAACCACGATCAATGGAATGTGGTAATAATTTTATATAAAATTTTCAAAGTCCTAACGAACTACGTGGACTTTGATCCCGTCTTACGGGTACGTAAGCAACCGATAAGGTTCGAGTCCAACTAACCAATTAACTTTATCTTTTACGTCAGTGGACGTATAATTAAATTACAATTAATACGATTTAATTTCTTAAATAGTCCAGTGGGACCCTAAAAATTGAAAAATTTTACTAAAATACACCCAACTCGCATAAAAACTTATCGACTTAAGTAGTACCGATTTAGGGCGTTGTGGGGGTGTTGCTTAACTTCCCCACACGTAACCGTACTCCCGAACCCAGAACTTTATTTTCGCAGACCATGCCTCGGTTCTGACACTAAGGTTAGAACCGATTTGAAGAGTGTTCGATCCACTCCAAGTAAGATCGATGGCGACTCCCAAAAATGCCGACGCGACGACATTCGGACCCCCCCCGGACGGGACGGTTTCGACAGCAACCAAAAACCAATCAAACTCGCAACCTCTCAAGTTTGGAATTGGGGTAAAATTCATTCAAACATGTCCTGCCCAACCCTTACACGTACCAAGCTTTTTATAGGCAATTACAACCATCATCCTACGCTAAAAAGGAATTAAAACTACTCCTAATTCAACTAGCATAACAACTACTACTAATCCTCGTGGCACAAGGATTCCAAGTCTCACATTACAAGGAAATAAAACAGCTTAACATGATAACTTTGGCCGCATTGTTCATGGATCAAACAAACTCCAATTCTTCAACCAATGCCTTAAGTTGTAGATTGTGAAATGTAGTTTCATGGGGGTACTCGTCTCTGGACGTGGTTCTTCCCCATCTGTCCGGAATGAAGCCCTAAAGTAGTCATCTCCAACTCAGTCCTAGACTTAGCCGTTTTTAGACACAATTCCAGTTTCTTGCTAGCAACTTTGGAAGCTTTGGAAAATCATCAAAACGACTTCTCCTGGCTAATCCAATGCTTCCGTCGTATAGAAAAACATCTCTAGTCCAGCTCCAAACCCTTGCCTTGAATTTTATTCGAACCATTTTAGAGTATCAAGCTCCCAAAGATGGTACCCTGCAACATAAAAATGACTTGGGCAAAATTCGCCCTCCTTATCCGTGATTGATCCAGCTTCTTGATCGATCCCTTGAGGTTTGTAATTCAAGAGGTTTGGGATCATATCACTCTCGAGGAGGGACTTCTGCATTAGGCTCAAGTGGAGTGAGTTCAACTGATGGCCTCACAGCTGCTGAGGGTCGAAGCCCGTCGAGGTACTCTATCCTTCACTCTCCTTGAAGCATCAACTTCATGTTGTAGAGAGTCTCCATTGGGAAGGGCTCGGTCCGGCCAACGATGGAGCACCTCTCCACATCCACCTCTCCTCATCCTGCTCGTGCTCGGGAAGGCAGAGGGCCTGGAAAGCAGCCTGATAGTGGAAATCGATGGTGTAATGTCGCTCCGTCATCGTCATGTAGGTGGTATCCAACCCATGGCCTGGGCGAAAGCATCGTAAGTAAGCACCCGCGGCTGACCTCCAAGCATGAACTTCACGTGGGGCTGACTCTTCTGCCTCTTCGGGACGACGTGGGAGAAGGTGGAGTAGAACTCCACGCATAGCTCATGGTAGATGAGCTAATCCACTGTCAGCAGCTGGCACCGCTGGGGGTGACAGGCAACCCCTGACATTGCGGCTCGACACTTAAACATGTTAAACATGTACAAGTCTAGCCTCCAATACGGTCCAATCGGAGTGTCCCTCTGATAGGAAAAGTTAGCCTAAAATCGTGCATGGTTCACCAAGTAGCTGATGTGCTCATGCTCCAAATTAAGCATCCTACAAAACTGACAAACGTGCACCATACGTGGAAATAATTGTCAATCTCAACTCATTGGGAGGAAAAAGGAAGTCCCTCCCACACATATATTTCCACTACGGCTCCATGCCATTTGAAACAATTAAGCACAAGCACACCGAGGCATGGTTCTAGTTGTTTCATGGATTATCCATACAAATATAAAAACCCGAACCATGCCACGGTGGCTACCAACTACCACTCAAGCATAAAAATTGCACCTTCATTCACAAATTAGCATTTGGTGGCCAAATTCCACAAATAAAAGCAATTCGAATTAAATCATGCCCACCAAGGCTCAAATACGCTCATGCAAACATCATTCAATCGTTTATTCAACACATTTCACCTAATTCCTCGCCCTATTGCTAAGTTCAACATTCAATTCTCTAGGTTCTCCTCACTTCACTACCTGATCCGATTCTCCCAATTTAACTAAGGTAGAGTTGAAAACAAACCTAGAGACTCAAGTAGAATGGTAGGGCAAGTGAGGAGAGGGCGAGGGAGGTGAAAAACTGGTCGAAAACAGGCCGGTGGAGGGTCGCCGGAGCTTCGTCGGAAGCTTGTCGGAGGCTCGCCGGCAATGACTTCACCGGGAAAAATTGACTCCAAATCCCCCCAAAATTTCGGCAAAGGCCGCCCTTGACAAGGGAAGAATGGAGCTGTGATTGGATTTTGATTTGGCTCGCTGAAAGTTGACGAAAAGGGTGAAAGTCATAAGAAAATCGCGGTTTTCCGGCAAATTTGAAAAGATTCCAATGAGTTTTGGGTCTTGAAGTGAAGAGAAAGCGTTCATGGCCCTTTTATAGGCAAGCCCTGAGGTTCACGGACATGTTTGCCAGTTCACGGTCGTTAAGACCGTGAAGATCACAATCTGTCCATGAACTGGGCCAATCGATGGGTTTGACACACGTGGAATCACCTTGGTTCACGAACGCGGGATCTTCGATTCGTTACTCTAACCCGTTTTTTGATCGGCTTTTCTATAGGTGGTTCTGTATACCGGAGCAACTGCTCGTAACCCCTCCGGACCGGAGAAGAAGCAAGTATCTGGGGAATAAGTATCGGCTAACTCTGTGACTCTAACTGGTCTGTTAATGTCTCCTTGCTACGGCCTTTTTTAATATCCCTAACTTGGTTCGATTCAACCGGAAGAGGAAGCGCTCTTGCTGCTAATGTGGTGGGTCCGGTACGCCTCATATGCATAGACTCGACACGAGGTTGGGCCTATTCTTGAACAGAAAGCAGAAGACAAGAGATTTCCTTTCGAAAACAGCCTCCTCCCGCTGCGAGGGCGTTGCACGAAAGCAAAGTGCCCCTGGCCCTTCTACCTCTTGCCTTCTTTTACCTTCTACCTCGTGGTCCCTCCTCATAGCCTAAGGCGAATAAAGAAGCTTTTTTCTCAATTTCTCTCTTCCCATCGACCACTTCTGGAGCTTGGCAAAGAGCGGGTTCTTGCCTTTCGTTTGCTAGTTCACGGTCGATTAATACCGTGAACATATTAATCCGTGCGTGAACTGCAGTGAAAACAGGGCACTTCAGAATTTTTTTAACTCGACCTACTCCACTGTGCCTACTATCATTCACGACACAACTCAAAACACACAATCACAAAAAACTAGGACGTGGATACCACTCAACACAAAAACAAAAATAAGGAAAAGAAAATAAACCTACGTTGGGTTGCCTCCCAACAAGCGCTAAGTTAACGTCACTAGATTGACGTTGCGAATCTGTCACGCCTTTGAACGTGATGCCATCTAGAGTGGATCCGCCATGATCTCGGGGCGAGGCGTGTCGCCTCCCAACTTACTCTCAATGGGATGGCCTTCTTGGCCGATGACTTTTGCTTTGAACTTTTCCTTCCTCCGGCATTAGCATGATTTATCCTTTCCCTCCAAGCTCTTTTCCTTCATTCTTTGGGAGAGATGACCTTTTTTCTTTCCTGCTTCACATCATCACAAGAAACAACAGTAATAGTGGGGTTTAACTTGAAAGGTTCCCCTCCACTTGCATTCATATCACCCGGTTCCACTTTCCTCACGTCCTCACTTCTAGGCTTAGGTTCAATTCCAAGAGTAATTCTCTCTTCACCATCCCTCAGAATCAAATTTTTCTCATTTACATCAATTAATGCCTTGGAGGTGGTAAGGAAAGGGCGTCCTAGTAAGAGTGGCATCTCAAGAATCCTCACTTATATCCAGGATCACAAAATCCATCGGATAATAGAATTTTCCCACTCATACTAGCACGTCCTCAACAATGCCCCTAGGATTAATGATAGAGCGACCAACCAAGGTGAAACTAAGCCTCGTAGTCTTTAGTTCACCTATGTCTAGCCTCTTAAAAAGCTTAAATGGCATCACATTTATGCTCACCCCCTAAGTCTGCCAAGGAACTTTCTATGTGATGAGTACCGATGCAAAGAGGTATGGTGAAAGTACCTGGATCCGGTTGATTCTTGGGAAACCTGTTGAGGATGAAGGCTGAGCACTCCTCGCATAGGGTGACGTTGGCGAGGTGTTCGAACTCCGGCTTCTTGGAGAGAAGCCCCTTGAGGTATTTTGAATACCTTGGCATGTGGGCCATTGCTTCAAGGAAGGGAATGTTGAGGTGGAGCTTTCAGAGCATCTCCATGAAACCTCCACATTCCGCTTCCAATTTTTCCTTGTGCACCCTCGCGGGAAAAGGTAGGGTTGGCGTGTACTCAGCCACAAGTGGTGGCATTGGAAACGCCTTTCTCGCCACTCCTCTCTTTTCTCCCGAGGTTTCTTCTTCCACCCTCGGGTAGAGGGTCTTCCTTCTCATTCACTTCTTTGAAAACTACCTCCGGAGTCACCTTCCCACTTCTCAAATGAATTGCATTCACCCCGACATGATCCTTTGCGGTTTGTAATGGTTTGAGAGGGTAGGGCTCCCTTTGGTCTCTTGGTGAGGATCTCGACAAGATTGTCGGGTTTCTTGAGCTTGCGAGAAGCCTGACGATAAATGGCATCCCGGAGGAGGCATTTCAACTGAGGCTATTCCCCTATTCTTTGGAAGAGAAGGCTCTCTGATGGCTCAACAACCGTCTGGCTCGATCCATCACCTCTTGGGAAGATTTACTCAATAAGTTCATGACCCGATATTGTCCTCCTTCCAAGACGGCCGAGTGGAGGAAGAAGATCACTCACTTTGAGCAAGAGGAAGATGAGACATTGAGGGATGCATGGGAAAGATTCTTCGACTACTTCCTCCAATGCCCTCACTTCGAGGAGCAATTTAGGATAGAGACTTTCTATGGCGGTCTCATTCAAGATGACAAGATTCTCGTCGACTCTCTTTGCCAAGGGAAGTTGATAAACATGACCCCACCTCAAGTGACCGAGTAGCTCAATTTTATGGCTCTCAAAGGATATGATTGGGCTTGAGAAGAAGTGGTAAGAGAAGCACCAAAAGAGGAGTGCAATGTGTGGGAGCAAATGCTCCACTTGAAGCAAAGTTTGACAAGTTGATCGAGGTGATCCTTGAGGACAAGAAGCAAGGGAAGAGAGCGGTGATGTCTTGTGATTGGTATTCAAGCACTAATCATGAAATTGTTGATTTCCAAGCTATGAAGAAGACAAGTACCCTCGAGGAGCAAGGGAAGAGAGCGGTGATGTCTTGTGATTTGTATTCAAGCACTAATCATGAAATTGCTGATTTCCAAGCGATGAAGAAGACAAGTACCCTCGAGGAGCAAGTGAGTTTCATTGCCAATGCTAGAGAGAACAACCCTTATAGCAACACCTACAACCCCAGTGGCGCAATCATCCAAACTTTGCTTGGTCTTCCCCTACCAATCCAAGACCTCCCGGCTTCCAAGGTCCAACAAGAAACTATCAAGCTCGGCCAACTTTCATCCAACAAAGGACTCAATTCCAAAACTCAAACTTCCAAAAACCATACCAAGCACAGGGTGGTCAAATGTTTCAATAACAACAACAAGTTGACAAGTTCTCTAAACTTGAAGACCTTGTGGCCACCTTTGTGATTACAAGCTCTCAAAAGTTCGAGAAGATTGAGCAATTCATGGATGTGGCAACCTCCATGTTTACCTCGGTTGAGGCGGGACTTCGAAGTCATCAAGCAAGTCTCCAAAACTTGGAAGTGCTTTGAACATGCTCTCCCAGCGATTCAATGGCAAGCACGTGGAATAAGGTGTTGTTTTGAATTATCGTCATGAGAGCGGGGTTGATTTCAACGTTGTTGGTGGCCATGGGTGATCTAAGATGGGAGATCTGATATCCGTCGCCCGTGGAGCCATGTAATAGCCCATAGTCCTTGGCTCTTCCTCGGCTCCCAATTCCTCATTTTGGTTTTGAAGCGGATTAGCACCGTGATGTTGATTCCCCACCATCTCAACTTTAACTTCTGCTTCAATCCCTTAAAATCCGGGACCAGCTTGTTATCCCCTTTCTTCAATTATCCTCCTTGATTCCTCTAACTCCCTCTCTCGAGCTCAAAGTGGAGAGTCCGGTTGATGTTCTCGTTTAGTGGTGTTAAAGGCGCCGGATTGCTCCGGGTCATGCACCTCCCGACACACACTTAAAGAACACACCACGTCTAGCACAAGCACACTTCATACTTAGCAAAAATGAAAAAATAAAAGCTAGATTAACACCAAACAATCTTTTCAAGATAACGGACCGAAGGTCCCCGGCAACGGCGCCAAAAACTTGACTCGCTCCCACTATCACAATAAAATCCCACCTAAGGCCCAAATATAAACCTTAGATGGGTGCAATATAGGGCAAATATGCATAAATATCAATCCGGGCCGACCCATGTACCCCTACTTCCATTGTTTGAAACATTATCTAGCGGATTGTTGTTTGTTGAAATCTCTACAATCTACAATTTAAAAGCAAGACTTTGAAAAGTAAATGGGTGGAAAACTCTTTGTGAGAAGCTTCACTCGGGTGTTGCTTCCCCCTAACTAACTACCATGGACCGCGGGATTGATTGAACTGGTGTGTGACGAGGCAATTGTGACCTGTAGGAGGTGCAACAATGGTTAGAAACCATCCTCTCAATTGCTAGGCCAAGGTAAGCATTAGAGGCTGCGATTGTAGCCCTCTTGGCGCAAGCAATTGAGGGTTGGCTTACCTTCTCCCTCAAACCAAGGCTTTGAAGGAATAATAACAATTAACCTAGGTGTCTAGTTCAATTAGAGGTTTGCCCTTTATTAACCTAGTTAGGAGGCATAGAATGCGTAAGCAACCCAGCTCAATTTTGAGCCTCTTAAGATAAGGGGGCTTCTCTCTGATCTAGGTTAGAATAGCACAATAGATTTCCAAGAACACACAATCACCATAAAAATACCTCAATTCATAAATTAAATACCGCCATCACACAATCATTCAATCCACACAATCAATTACATAATAGTAGTTAGGGTTCTACAACACCCAAGTTAAAAGGGAAGCTACTCCATGTTAGACAAAGGGAGAACACAAAAAAGGAAGAAAGAAACCATCATTGACATGCCTTCAACTCTCATTGTGCGTGTAGAGATCCTCCAAAGAAGAGGAACTTCCAAAATCTTCACTTGGAGTAAACCCCAGCCTCTTCTCCCTCTTGGTTCGTGACTTTCTCTCCCTAGGGTTTCAAGAAGAAGAAGGTTTCTCTCAGTTAGGGCTCTCCCTTCTCATTCCTTTCATCTCTCTATTTATATTGAGATCCTGCCCAGTTCACCACCCCAGTTCACGGCCGTGAACATCAGAACGCGTATGTGAACTCAGTGAACTAGAT